AGCATAACTGGGCTCTCGAGGACTGGGTAATGGCAATAGGATGCGTACGTATCTGACCTTCACAGTCGTCGAGAACACACTGAGCTCACTCACCACAGTTGCCTCTCATGACATTGACCATCGTCACCACTATTGGCTCCTATTATGGTATTGGCGCCAAAGACAGTACTTTTGCTAAGCCTGGCAACCAGAAATACGTCGAGACAGCATATTTCGTGAGTCATCATCCAGTGTAACACCGAATTGGTCGGTGGCTAACAGCATTCAGTGGTTCTTTCTCTACGAGGTCTTCTACTGCACATCCATCATCTTCGTCAAGCTGAGCATCGCCTTCATGCTGAACCGGATAGCCGGCAGGAGAATGGTCTATATCTACATCAACTACGGCATCATGGGCCTCTGCGCGGCCACGAATCTGGCAGCTATCCTGTACATCATCTTCCAGTGTTGGCCGGTGGAGTAAGTACAAAGCAATCCGGCGCGATATGGGCAATGCTAACCGTATACTTCTCAGGGCTGCTTGGAGGGCTGACCTTATGGCTGAAGGTACTTACTGCCAGCCCCCAGTGTATCTGCAGAATGTGTACTTCTTCTGCACTTCGGTCAACATCTTCACTGACTGGGCTACTGCGCTCATGTGAGTTACTCAATTTTTTGCTATCGAGTAGGCACTAACGCGGACCAGGCCAATCGCTTTGCTCTGGAACGTCCAGATGAACAGGAACACCAAGATCTCAGTCGGTGGCATCTTGAGCTTGGGTATCTTGTATGGCAAATCCATGAATCTGAATGACCATTGTACACCGCTAACATCGCTCTAGCACATCCATTTCCGGCCTGGTCCGTCTGAAGTACACCGTTGGCCTGACAAGCAGCCATGACTATCTTTGTAAGCACCTCCAGATCCTCATTCCATCACAACACTAACATCTCTCCCAGACGGCCTCGCCAACATCCTCATCTGGGGCTACGCCGAACCCGCCCTCGGCATGCTCGTCGGCAACATCGCAACCCTCCGCCCACTCTTCCAACGGCTCCTCCACCTCGGCTCAAGCGGCTCACACCAGCCTCGCTCCGGTACACCCCACGGTGTCAGCAACCCCGACCGTTCGCACCGCTACAAGCCTTTTGACACCGAGCTCGAGCTCGGCACGGTTGCAGACAACCAGGACACGCACATGCCGGCCATCAAGGTTCATGCGGGACGCGTTAGTGTATCGAGTGACAGCGAGAGCCAGAAGGAGATTCTGGAAAAAAACGATCGGTTTCTGAACAACAACAAGGATAGCATCGTTGTTAGTCGGCATGTGGAGATTAGTCGGGATTAGTGCCTCGTAGGAGTGGCTACTTGACTGTCTGAGGGGAGCATGAGGGGAGCAAGTACGACGGGTTCATGACTGTATTATATTGTTCACATATCATGTCTCTCGTTACCATCGAAAGAGTAAAGATGTGATTATCCTCGTCTTTTTCCGCGACATCAGCTTGAATACGGCCATTTACATCGTTTCAAACAAAATCTTTGTACCGATTCAGGAGGATGTGTATTTTGTATTACATCTGACGTAGGAAATAGAAATGCAAAAGACAGCAACTAGGTTTTGGTATTGATAGAGTTGAAGCCAGATGTAGTAGGCAAAGAAGTGCCGACGTTCATACTTTCGGAAGGTGGTTTTTGGTGGCGTTCATCACTATCACAACACAGGATCTTCTGTCATACAACTAGTGAAAGCCGACAAAGAAGAGGCCATGAACTTTCTGTTCATTGCTTTGGTTGGAATTGAAGAGCCGCAGCCCAGCAAACTCCATGGCAATGATGATTCCCGGGTTTCGGACTGAGGCCTCGCATTTGTGGGGAGGAATGATGACGTGAGAGCGCAGCTTTATACGCAAGAGGCCGAATGGCACTAGTGCTCTTGCCGCTAGATTGAACAGCTAACATGAGCTGTAATTCTTGGTTTTTGGAAAGTTATTACCAACGGCTGTCTCATAAGACGTGAATAAAACATTTTGTACAGATGAGCATCCGAGTCCATGCCCACATTGTCTTTCAACTCGCACAGGTTTTGGTGTCGACTTCTCGCCACATAGCTTAGGTAGTTGGACATTTTAGAGGACAGTCACTCAGCAGCAACTTAAATCCGAATCTTGGAGACAGCGAAAAGCATTATGTGCTTTATGAACATGTTTGATCCACCAGGGCACACACATGATCTTGTCTTACATATGTTTGGAAAGTTCCGAAAGGCCGCGGCCATCATAGACACCTGCGAAGTTTTGAACTGAATGTAGTTTGGAATAGATAGTAGATGAAAGAGAACAGTTGAAGAAAAGGTGCTTTATATGCAGACAGCTCCGTGAGCTAGGGCCGTTGCATAGGGTCTCCAGTATTGAGACTCGTGAAAACAATATGAGCTGGCAGTTATCGTGTATTTTTAGCCGAAGGAGGAATTTTGGAGAATCCGGCGGTGACTCGATGTGGAAATACGCCTGAGCACATAGCGAGTGAAGACAGCCCTCTTAGTTCCGTGGGAAGAGGAACTCAACTTCATGGAGTGAGGTAGAATGAATTTTGGAAGACTCGAAATTCCATGGCCGATGTAGGTACACCGTTTTGGGAGAGAAGGCGACAGGCGAGAACATGATTGTGACCTCACGAGGTTTGGGGGAGGCGGAGGAGACAGAACTCCATTAAGGAGGATTCGAGAACTTTTGGGAAAAGCCAGGAGGCTGTGGATGTTGAGAGCAAGAGTGAGTAGAAGAGAGAGAAGTATTTATACAGCCAGCGCACGGCTTCAGGATGTAATAGCTATCCGTTGGGCAGTACACGCGCCTCATGCCGTTAAAGTATCTCGCTTTGAACGGAATCGAAGGTATGTATATACCAAAATGCATCGAGAAGCTTGTAGTTTTGGAAGCCGCAGAGAAAGGACCATAAGTCGCGGAGAAACTTGTTTTGGACAAAAGTGGCAGTCTGTCACCAATGACTTCGACATCAAATGCCCAGATGGTCTTTTTTGCCCACACGACGAAATGGACACATCAGACCAGCGTAGTGTTTTCGGAAAAGCTCAATAGGAGTGTGGTTGGCAGGAAACAACATGCCACGTGGAATCCTAATTTTTTGGTTCGAGCGAGAACTCCATGAAAGAGCCAGGTCTGGCTTTTGAGTTTGGTTCCGACAACCACTCATCGGTATGATGGAGTCTCGTTTTGGAGAAAGTAAAATCGGAAGTAGTGGATGATAGAAAGGGAGGTTGGGAAAGCTGAAGACGGTATTTATACGTCTCGACGCACGCAGCGCTCGAGCTAGTGCAGGTGATCAGTCTTATGATGCATGACTCTTGGTATGCCCAAAGGGTCTTCACGTAATCGCGCATCGCCTCCCATGTGGTGGACACAATCTTCTTACTCACGTAGTATCATTCTTTATTAGTATTCAGGTGACTTTAGGGTACTCATTCGTTGTCCCCGTCACCAAGTTTATCAACCCTTCCGTGACCGAGCATCGTCCCCGGTCTTCTACTGTCCACCAGTCTGATTATTCTTCTGCTCCATACCCACGCTCCTGCCACCAGCCTTTGTCGTGTCGCCAACGAAGTTGCCGGCCGCTATCACAACACGTCAGCCCAACTTATCCAAACGCGGCCGTTTCTGGGGGCACTCACCTTTGGTAGTATCACCAGCACCCTGCGTAATACCCGTGACAGCATCACCGAGTCCCTTTCCACCAGCCGCGACGACATTGCCCGTCGCGTCAGTGACGCCTTGGACGCCCTTGCCGACCGTGTTTGTTGCGGCGCCTAGAGTGTTTCCTGGATTGTTAGCAAAGACTCTCATATATTCGTGGCCGTGATGCTTAAAGAGCGAAAAGGTAGATGGAACGTACCGAGACCGCTGGCAGCGGTGCCGAAGAAGCCCTTCTGTTGGTTGTTCTGGTCGGACATGATTGCTTTGTGTGGTAGACTCGTGCTGTGATTCGGATCGGAATATACAGCTTGATGTGGAGAAGTCTGAAGTCTCGGTTTAGAAAGTGTTGAGAGTGAGGTGTAATGTGCTTACTGAGGCCAGCCCGATGTTCTGATATGTGGTTGCCCACTCTGTCCTTATGACGTAGCCAGTTGCGCCATCCTCACCTGCATCCCTGCGCGCTGCCCCTCACCTGGAAGTTGCGCAAAGACGCGCAACGCTCCTGCCGTCTGCAAACGTCCCGCAGTAAGATCGACGTTTACATCACATCACATCATTGGCAGGGAACGTGCGTTCAACGGTTCCAGGCGCGGACGCAGACTTTCCTTGGCCCAGACGCATCACAGACAGTATCACAGACAGAAGCAGAGTGATAATTTTTTACCAGTTTATTCGAACTAGATCAAGCTATTGCACAAAGAGTCATCTCCTCATAGATCTTGCTCTCGTGTACGCAGGATCTTTTTCGCAAGTGCGTGCCTAAGCAAGTTTGCTATCGTCGGCGGACACTGCATCACCAAGCCACCACTCTCTGTAAGAGGCAAAAAGAAGGAAAGGAGGATAACATGAAGGGGGAGTGGGATTGGAGAGACCTCCACAGGAAGACACGGTACTTCTTTTACCTCTTGGTCCTCCCTACCCCAAGAAAATCGCAGCGCAAAGAAAAGATGAAGGACTGAGGAAAACTCGGCCAAAATGCCCACCCAGGGCGCTCGTGAAAAGCGTGTGGTGTAGACCGTCCCCATCTTCAGATCCGGAACGCCGTCATGAAGCATGCGTATGAAAAGAGTCATCGAGGCTTGTACCAACCAATGGTTTGAACACCCAAACCCATTTCGTGAGACCGGCCGTCAGACAACAAGGAAACTTTTGAAATCCACCGCTCTTGAAAGTCGCAGTAATGAAACCCCGCGAAATGCAGAACAATGCGCGCGCTGATGCCCCCTTCTATGCAACGAAACAGGCGATTAGATTACCGCGTGCGGTGTGGTCTATGGGTATAACCGTCACGCGCTCGAAAGGAAAGGTAATCACTCGGAAGGCTTGGCCTCCGCGTCGGCAGCAGACTCATCTGGAGCGTTGGATGTAGAGCCAGCCTCGCCGGCGTCTTCGTTGCTAAGAGCAGCAAGTGCACTGTGCATTTGTTAGTAAACATGTCAAGAATAATCAGCACGGGATCTTACCTGAAAGCGTTTGCATGAGCAGTGGCCTCCTTCTCCTTCTGGACAGGTGGTGTGCCATTGCGCGAAGAGGCGTTGGAGTCTTCACGGCTAGCCATGCCGGGACCGATACCACGGCGGCTACCGGCGCGGTTACCAAGCATGGACGGGCCGAGAGCTCCAGCGTTGTTTAGGTTGCGTCCAGAAGCACCCTTGGACAGCTTGCGGAGATCGTCCATTTGGACACGGCTGCCAGTGTCTGGAGGAGGCTGCATGCCACCACCTGAGAACGAGCGAGCGTCGCCGCGACCCATGGGAAGACGGCCACCACCACCACGTTGGTTTGATCGTGTGCGCTCCATCTCGGCGGCCTGTTGGGCTGCCATGGCTTCCTGATGAATCTCGGCGATGGTCTTGGGACCCTTGAGGATGTCCTTGGACTTCCAGCCGGACTTGCGCATGTCGACGGTGTCAAGCAACATGAAGTGCATACGCGAAGGAAGACCCTCCATGTTCATGACCTTCTCGATGCGCTCGAAGTACATGTTGATCATCTTGGGGCCGGCTTCGGCGGATTCCATCGTGGCACCCACAGTGCGTAGCAGCTTGACCAAGCTCTCAATAGCAGCCTCATCGGGGAGACCCTCAAAGTCGAGAAGCTTGAGCACACACTCGTGCATGATGCGCAGAGTCAACATGCCCAACTTGTATAGCTCTCCGATGAACTGGATCAGACCGAGACCCTTACGCTTGGCTGCAGCGGCAACGTAGTACTCGTCTGACAGAAGCTTCGCCTCCTTTTCGCCTTCAGGCGCTTCGGGCAGGTTGACTTCCCAACCACGCTCGAACTCCTCTTGACAGCGGTTGAGGAGGTACTTACGGAAGAGAGCACCACCGACAACTGGCGCACCGTGCTTGTCGCGGACATTCTCATCCTTGATCTCGGTGCTCATGGTCTGCAACATGCGGCTACAGAACTTGGCATACATGGACGACCAATGAGACTCGTCACAAGCCTTCTCAAAGGTGAGCTGAATGACCTGGCGAAGAGTGCGTCCATCAGTCTCATCCTTTGACTGTCCAGCGATCTCGAGGATTTGATCGGAAATCTTGTCGAACTTGTCGGGTGTCATCTTGTTGAGAGCGGCCTTGACCTTACGCTGTACCATATCGGGAGCCAAGTGGCCTGCGCTCATCTGAGCCTGGACAGCAGCGGGCTGAGTGAGCGACGTAGGTACCCAACCAGTCTGCGAGCGTTGGAGTGCCTTGACTTCCTGGCCGGCAGTCAAGGGCATTTGCTTGGCATCTTGAGCATTGCCGCCACGGCCACCCTTATGGCTGTTTTGGCCGCCCCTACCGCGTGAGCTGCCAACGCGAGGTGAATCTGGTAGCCTGCGGTCGGCGCTCTGGTAGGAGTTTTGACGTCCTGACATCGACTGCCCGCCCATAGGAAATCCACCACGACCTCCACCTAGAACGACATGAGCAAGAGGGTTCGTCATAGAGCCACCGCGTCCGCCTTGGGCTTGCTGGAAACGCTGTTCGGATGTCGTACCTGGCGGGAGTGTGCGGCCTCCTGGCTGGAATCCACCACCTTGCCCAAATGTACCCATTCCACCGCCACCGCCACCGCCAGGGCGAGAGCCTTGACGTCCACCGGCGCCCAGATGCATAGAGCCGGGACGAGCAGATGGAGGACCGCGAGCAGATTGGGGCTCGTCACCGACTGTCTCCTTGAGCTTCATGTCCCAGTCAACAGATGGCTTCTCCTTGAAGACATCCTGGAACTGCAAGAGGAAGTCCTTGTCGTACTGGCGGCCCTTGCTCCGGTTGCTGTTGTTAAGAGCTGGGTTGGGGCTGGCTACGCCTTGAGGATACATGACCTCAGCACGGACTTCGAGGAAACGTGCAGTCTTGAGTGCCTGCATACCAGCAGTCGGCTGTGCGGGCTCGACAGACTTGTTCGTCTCGAGCTTGAGAGCAGCTGGCTTGGGCTTGGAGCCAGTGGGGGTCTTGGAGGGTGCAGGTGCGGCAATAGGAGCTGAGGACTCAGCGGGAGCCGCCTCTTCCTCAGTCTGAGAGGCACCAGGACCGAACATGGTGTTCTTCTTCAAGCTTGCGAAGAGAGCCTTGTCCTTGGCTTCGCGCTCGGCCTTTTGCTCAGGAGTCTCTGCTGCGCGAGCGGCTTCAGCCTCTTCGGCTTCGCGCTCTAGCTTGCGCAGACGCTCCTCTTCCTGCTTGACCTTCTCGGCAGCGTTGGCCTTCTCAGCCTCGGCCTTCTTTGCCTTCTCCTCGGCGTAGCGCTTCTCATCTTCTTCGCGCTTCTTCTCTTCTGCCTCCATCTCAGCAATCATGCGCTCCATCTCTTCGTCTTCGAGGCGCTTCTTCTCAGCCTCGTCAGTCTCGGCCTTCTTGGCAGCTTCGGCATCCTCCTTCTCCTTGGCTTCAAGAGCAGCTTTGGCGTCGGCCTCTTCCTTAGCAGCAAGCTTTGCATTGGCTTCGGCCTTGGCCTCTTCCTCTGTAGCTTCCTTGGCCTTCTTCTCGGCTTCCTCTTGTAGGCGGAGCTTCTCCTGGAACTGCTTGACAAACTCGGCCTTCTTGGAAGCGGTATCTTCAGCACGAGTAGAGTCGGTGGCGCTCGGTGCGCGCGGAGGGGTGGGAGTGGCAGCAATAGCGGGAGAGCGAGGCGCAGCAGGTGCAGCGGATGCTACAGCAGGCGGGGCAGGCGAGGCGCCCTTGGGCTTGAAGTCGACAACTTCACCATCAACTATACGCTGTTAGCATTGTCATATCATCGCATGCAAAGATTGCAACTTACCAGTCTTGATCTGGATGGCCTTGCTTTGCCTCTTCGGACGCTCAAAGGTGGAGCTAGGTGCGGGGCTTGCCGCCGTCATGCTAGGAGTGTGTGTGTGCGAAATGTGGTTGACGTTGGTCATCGCAGGTGTGGAAGGCTGAGGAACAGCAGATGACGGGCGCTCCGACATGTTGGAGGGAGTGCGCGACATGCTCTGAGCCTGTGGCTGATGACCGTAGGGGGCAACACCGTAGGGAGACGGTTGCATCTGAGGAGGGAATCCACGACCTGGGCTAGCGGGGACACCTGGGTAGTGGATGGACTGCTGAAGTCCGTAGCTCTGCGGGTAGAAGTTGTTGTACGGGTCTAAGTTGGGCTGGGGCATGCCACCGTAGATGGCCTGTGAGGAAATTTGTGTTAGGAATGATTCGATATTTGTACTTGAAAAGACTGAAACATTTGGTGGCGGAACAATTTGTGTGGGGACATTTGCCGAATCCGATCGACCTTGGTTGAAAGGCCTCTCGGTCCCGACAGAACCATGGCTGGACATGGGAGAACTGTGGGAAACTCGCGAACCAGTCGATAAAACCGATCTGCGAGATGAAGAAACTGAGGGAGTAGCTGAAATAGTAGAGGATGTACTTGCCTGTTGAGGGTACTGTTGTTGCGGGTAATATGGCATGCTCTGAGGATTAGCGAGGTGCTGCTGCTGATGCATAGTAGCAGGTGTCATAGCAGGGCTACGGTTCTGCGTGTAAGGAGAGCGCTGCGGGCCAGGAGGGTGGAATGGCGCAGCCTGGCCGCGGCCCATCTGAGGCATCGGGCGGAACGGCTGTGGCGAATGGTTGGCCATGTGCGGGTTGTATTGACCTTGAGGAGGGAATCCACCACGGCCGCCTCGGTTGGAGTACGAGCCGCCGCGGCCCATGTTTGCGTTGCTCATGTCGCTGTGCGCAGACTGGGAGGATTCGCGACGCATGTGTTGAGGCATCGTGTGTGAGTTTGGTTGAGGGGGCATAGCAGGGCGTGCCTGTGGTGGGGTCAGTATGTGAAGCGGAAAGAGGACTATATGGGGGGCAGGGCGCAAACTCACGTTAGGCTCAGTGCTTTCACCGCCCTGGCCACCGAACACAATGTTTGGTCTAGTGGGCAGTCCGTCGGGCTTGGGACCTCCCGAAATGGGCGTAGGAATGGGCGATGGTGAATGAGCGGGCGAGGCAACGCGCGGGTTCTGCACCTGCGCCGGGTTCAGGTTTCCCTGGACTACGGGCGAGGCGTGGGCAGGCGCTGGTGAGCCAGCAAGCGAGCCGAACTTGATACCAGAGGGCGGGCCGCCTGCAGTCGCAACAGGCGGGGTCTGCTTGATCTGGACAGACGACTTGCGCTCGTGGGCGCTGCCGTTGGGACCACCGCTGACGATGGTGGGCATGACGGGAATAGCAGGCTTGAGGGCGCCGTTGCCATTCACCGGGGAGACAGAGGAGCTCTTGCCATGCTGCGCGCTCTGCGGTCCTCCCACTGCCACGGGCGGCGCTGCGCTAGACACGATCGTGGGTTTGGTCGCGTTGGCGTACGAGCTGCGGGCAGTGGGTTGAGCCGAACCGGCGGCCACGGTGGCGGACGATCCTGTAGAGGAGCTGTTCGCGGTCGCAGACGAGGAAGCGGCAATCGGCGGGGTTTGCGAAGTCGAGGCGGGATTACTCATGGACTCGGTGGTGGGTGAGGTGAGGTGCGGTGAGGGTGTGGAGGGCGGTCGGTAGGCTGCGCAATCGCTACCTGGCTGAGGGCGATGACGTTGGTGCTGGAATCCCAGATTCGAGCGAGGGGACGAACTCTGCGGAATTAATGAGTTGCTGGGACAGCGACTCGGGGGGGTGCAGAAAAGAGTGTCGTCCGCGTGGGGAAGGGAAGGTCAGAGGTCAACTCCTTTGAGAAGGGTGTTGAGGGCTGTCCGAGCGCTTCAATGAAGAGGTCTCTGAACAGGTTTCCGTGTCCGGGAGGGGGATTTCGCCGAATAAATTCGTGAAATCGACGGGGCGGCTCGTGTGAAGATCACTGAGTCCGCTGCGTGTGTCGTGATGAGTGTTCTCGCAGTGGAGAGACGGGTGGGTGGAGGGATGGCGGTTGGGCTCTTTCGAAAATTGTTTGAGTGCCACACTAAGCCGCAACAAGGATCTTGTCCTAGCCGAGCCCTTGAAGGCAGTCCCAACACCTCGAATTCACACGGACAAATTGCCGCTTGCTTGCTGGGTGACTGCTTGCTCAGGGTCACGGGATAGTCATTTCACGATTAATCCATTGGTGCGCGCTCCTAAACCATGGTGCGGATTGTGCCTTCCTCGGATACATGAGGCAAGCGCGAGGGGCTCCCACGCTGCCTCACCAATTCCAAGTCGTTGATATCGTCATCACATACGCAGTAAGCAGGACATGACACACAATGCTGCACTGCGCCCCAATGGCCTCGTCGTGACTCCTCCTAGCAGGACGTGACTATCGTTGCCGGAGGATGGGAACAAGGCTCTAGTACGTGGGGTGCCTTGCGCTGGGCCAGGCGGCAACAGCGAGCTGAGATACATCTTCTAGCAAACACCACGGTTGCGCAGACCCATACGTCTACCGCGTACCAAACGCCCTGTTCTCACTTGCAGCATACAGCCAGGTAGATGGTGACTTAACTTGACTATTATAGTTCAGCCCTGTGTCTCTCAGGATACACCCCGTTGCACAGCGAAGCACAGATGTGGCTATAACAAAGCAACAGCAGACAAGGCAGTCCTAGTCCCACGATACTGCCTAAGTTCTGTCAGCCATACAATGTCGAGATGCATCTCCCCTCCTGCGCAGATCGAAGAAAAATGTAAACCCACTGACGTCTTGCTGCGCATCTATGCACGATGACGGCGTGTCTCGAGGAGGCGACCATTCACGTGAAAGGCATCTCCGCCTTAACTCCATTGTCATGTGCGAACCTCAGGTATCGTTGCCACAATCGATAAGCTTGATCAGACCACTATGTGCACCACCTCCAAAGTTACTACTGACTACAAGGCCCGACTTGACTCAGGTACGGGCCTTGAGCTACACACGGACTCTGTATCGTTGACCGGACGATGCATCGACAATTTTGTGCGCGACATGACCGCGCTTCGCTGCGCAAGCGATACACAACCAACAATCATGAGACAGCGATAAATCATACTTACGAACGTTCTCAACAAAAGGGTTGTTGAGTAATAGGGCCTTGGGAAATGCGCATGCTACGGGTGGCATCCATCGCGGTACCAGTGTATGAAGTGGGTGGCAACCGACGTCGATGAAGGTGGATGCAGAGAAACATGCTCTTTCGATATTGATATCCCAACAACGGGGTAATGCAGATCTGTGCTGTTAAATTTTGCTAGCAATACTATTGCAGTAGCTGAAGAAGGGTGCTCAAGATGTAATGGCTGACCCTGAACCATCGACTGCACGCTCGTGAGATTGCAAGAATGCAATCTGCACAACTGTGCTACCATATCTTTGACAACTGCAAATGATCTTGGTACCGGTATATAGGTCGTCATTCCGTCGCAATATCGAAATCTCGATTGTCACACCTGACTAAAATATTGTAGGTCTAGCGTGTTCAGACGCGTACAGCCCACGTTGTTACAGCGGGTAGGACCGTTCAAAATCGGGGGTCACCTCATACTAGGGGAAAACCAAACAGATGTGCTGCCGTCTGAATTAGTGCGGAGAACCAAACTCGATGAAATCGCAGAACAATGTAGACTCTCAGGAGAAAGCTGTTCAGTTACTCTCTTGTGCGAGATGGGGTTGCCTTTGTGTGGAAGCGATGAGCAGCAACCGTGGGTCATTGCAAATGAACATGGCAATGTGAACGCATACCGCCACCAAGACATGCCCAGGCAGATGCAGGCTCTCCCATTGACTATGTATCACTTACCTGGAGATTACTGACTCCAGTGACATGCCGCTTGGGGAGTCTACCCACCATCAATGCTCCCGAGGTCTCAACCCACTCAACAGCCACCATCATCGCCCGTTGCAATCCTTGACTCACACGAAACGAAACGGTGACACAACGAGACGGCAACTTCAGCAGCCGAGTGCAGCCATCAGCTGCCGGAATCCTGTCATGCAGCGTGGCATTAGCAGCGCACAGCCGACGGTTTTGCATGCGCCGGCAGCACAGCAGAAGCAATGTCGTGGTCGCAAAAGCAACGAACACGACCGATGCTGAAACCCTGCTGCGGGTGTAATGCAGCGGTCCGTAATGCCAGGTACCGAGGCCAGACCAAATGGCTTGTGGTCTCTGGCGGTTTGGTACGACCTCTTATACTTGCGTGTGGGCGAGTCGCCTCAGCGCTGAGGATTAAACCTCACGCGCCCTACCAACGAAATGAAGCATGACGTCCGCATTCTGTCGTGTTGCGACAAAAGAGGACAGCCATGCCTAACGATGCGTTGGCCATCGCAATTCCATCAATCGCATTCGCCCCGCAGTATTCGCCTCGGGATGCCGGAGATATGCAAGTCTGCGGAAAGCGCATTTCCCATAAATCTGGGGGTGTGGAGATGAAGGAGGAAACGAACGTCGCAGAGTCCCGCATACGGGCACCGTGGAAGAGGAAACTTTGACCGTCAGCGGCGTCGAAAAGTTCCACCTCTCATCGTCAGCCACACCCACATTACCTCGGCGAAGTGCCACTCTTACTTTCCTGTTAGAAAAGCCGCCGGCTGTGGCAGACGCAGACCCTCCTCTTCGAGTAGTCCCCCAAGCCTGCATCTTGGGGCAAGCTCAGCTTTTAAAGCGTGCGCCAGCCTTCCGCATCTCGTATCTTGCTCCGGTGCCCGGACGCGCGAATAGGCGGGTCAGAAGGTTTGGTGTCGATGGCGCAAGCTTGCCGTCGTCCGATCGCTGACTGCCATGGCCTTGCTCGTATCCTTCGAGGATCGCCCTGCGCCGTATCAACGCAGGTGCATAACGGCTGAGGAACCACCCTCGGGCACTAAAAGCGCCTCACAATCCTTTGGCGTTGATGGCATGTGACGGGTTGGAGTCAAAATTGACATCGTATCAAGCTGCCGTAGGATTCTTTGCTTTGCTCAAAGTACCGGCCGTGGCTGCAGATGAGGAAGTTGCATGTGGGTGGGGAGATAGCAATGCAGGTGAAAGAAGAAATTTGGAAGGTCGTGCTCGTCCCGTCTTTGTTGTCTGCATCATCCCGTCCCGCCCCTTTGCTTCTTCTGGCATGCATCGTCATTCTCCAGAGGCGCGAGAGCCTGACCCACCACGAGCGAACTTGTCGAAGAAGCATGACTGCCCAACGGCTCACACATTCTGCATCTATTCGCCATGCGTATCAGCCATTTCCAATACCTTACTGCATTTCGCTTCTCGACCGAGGCGCCGCCTTAGGTACGTATCTCTACATCATCATGGCAGCGCTACCAGAAGTCGTCGCATCCCTGCTGACCTGTGGAGCGAGACGCTGGCAGCGCAACCTCCACGTGATATGCGTCTTCCACCAATCGCCTCTACTACTGGCATTTCACTCCGCGCCAAAGCAGGAAAGCGACCCTGATGCGACCCGGCCAATCGCACATCCGGAACTCAGGACCGACGACGACAAGCACAACACGGCGTCGCAGGGCTGACCCCGAGAACCCCAGTGCCCTCCATCTCGCCAGACTGCAGACTCCACGATCCTTCTCGGCTCTTGAAGTGCCAATAGGGTGTTTGTGGTGGGATAAGCCTCGAGCCTTCTCCGCACGTCATGAAGGCTAAAAGTTCCTGTCGAACCAGTTCCAGGTCGTAATTCAGCCGGGATGGCAGTCCCCTTACTCATCATTTCAGGCACGTCGTTCCGGACTCCTTGGGACCGCAAAGGCGCGACTCATGTGTACCTTGCACCACACCACCGAGCTGACGGACAATATTTCTGGTAGCGCCATTGCCCAAGGTCCGGTCCGGTAAGCTCAGCGGCTAGGCTGCGATGCGAGGACGTTTGTGAAAGGAAGGAATGTGGAGGAACAAGGTGGAGGGCGTGGTGCAAAAGCAGCGACAGGGGACGCTAGCCAACGCTCGTCCTGCACATGATGCGCTCCGCAGGAGGTGAACGGTGGCCCTCGAGGGTTCTGTCGGAATGGCGTACCGCATTGCGGCGGCCTTACCCCATGGGTGAGCCACGATGACTTCAGCGCCGGCCTGCGTTGTTGTCAATGCCATGGTTGCTTTCGCTTGTGCTCGGTGTGGTCCGTCCTGAGTCGCGCGTCTTGCTTTGGTCTGGAGTAACCTGCCCCGGCCCTGCCCTTGTCGATAAGTGGCCGAAGCTAGCGAGCTTAACTCGAGAATACAAGCTGCTAGAAACGTCTCTAGAGGGCGCCTATCACACCGCCGCTGGAGCCATGCACGGCGAGCCTCATCGCACACGAAGAGCAGCCGATCAACCTAGATCACACGCTCATGCTTCCGTACCCAGCACCGGCTGCAGGACATGCTCTGCCCATTCACACGACGTCTCCGCTGAACCATGTACCATGGCCTTCTCGAAGACCACCGCTTGGAAGAAGGCGCTCTGTGAATGACCCAATTCGCCCGCGTAGCCCTTACCCCGGCCGTGCCCAGCCTAGATTAAGCCTAAGATCTTTCTCTTGCCTTGACCAGAGCACCCGCGGCTCCTCAATCTAACGATGCCA